AAGAAAGTTTTCATGATAATTCAAGATACGTGACAGTCAGACATGAAAAATAAGAGGCAAGAAAATACCAGATCCGAATGTTCATACCCAAGAAAATAATGCGCATCTCATCGAGTCAAAACGCCACAAACTGACCCGAAAAAAAAAAAAAAAAAAGAAAGAGGGGTATGATAGGACATGAAAGGGTGACTGCAAAAAAAAAGACAGCAATAATAAGAATTGCGTCAATAGAGGCTCGGATGTTGGGACGAAAAAAAAAGCAGAAATAAGGAACAAGAAACAAGCAAACGATCACAGACGGAGAGACGGTCAGCCATGTAGTGAACAAAGCACATAGCAAGTCATTTGTCTCTTAAGTGTATCGTTGCCATCAGGACTAGTCAGCCCGCACCTCCGTCTTCTCAGAGAGAGGCTTGCGCATGACAGCGTCTTGGCCAGTCATCCTCCGGCCCAGAGCGCGCTCGACCTTAGCCCCGAGAGCGAGTTTGTTCAGGTTGTTCGACTTCTCCTCCGTGGGGACGAATCGCTGTTTGTTGAGAGGCTTGTTCTCAAGGCGCTCGAAGCCATCGTGGAGGTGGAAGATGTCGGCGATTCTGGGGTCGCCGCTGGGTAGAGTGCCGTTTGTGCGGTCGGAGGCAGCCAGCGAGGGGCTTCCACTGACGGTGGAGAATCGCTTTGAGTTTCGGTTCTGCAGCAAGTTAGACTTGCGCGGTTCTTGATAACGAAAGTAAAGGCCCTGCGACGGGCAGAGTAGGTGCAGGGGAGGAGGAGGAAGAAGAAGGGGGAGAAGTTCCTACCGATTGAGCCATAATGGGACGCTCAGAGTCGAGAGAAGGTTGGCGGGCCATTTCTGGGAAGTGATATGGTTATAAAGAGGAGGTTTTGCGCCGAAAGAGGGGCGGGTTTCAAATTGTAGGTATAGGAGGGCCCTTGAATGGAATGTAGCCTGCAAAATTGACCTGTTAGTGGGTATTACTGCCTAGTGGCTGGCGATCTCGGATTTCCAAGGGATACATACTCAGTCCAGGTAGAAGGGGGTGTGTTGGAGTCAGGCGCAGAGGTACCAATGCAGTGCAGGAGTAGAAATAGAGTCACAGAAAGGAGAAGACGAAACGGGGTGGGTCGAATTGGTGGGGAAAGACACAGTGTGTGGCGGGAAAGGGGTGGAAGGAATTTTTATGGAAAGATCGACGTAATCGTAAGATGAGCATTAAGGAGAGTCTGCGATGAAACTCTAAGTGGATATGTATTATGATTATACACAAATCAGAAATCACAAATGACTGATCACTGCACAGCAATCAATGATAATGATGCAAATCTCCCTTCTCTGATGTCAAGAAAGCTTTACCGGGGATATCTTTGCCACGTGCTGCCACGCGAGCCGATCATCTCGGCAAGTACTTAGGTACTTCGTAAAGGGGACCAGCTATACTACTATGAGATAACTACTTTATTTTAGTCTGTTATAGTTATATTGTATATTGTAGCAATGAGGCAAGGATAAAATTTGGCTAGTTTACTTACTACCTATATTAGAGGTACTATAGCAGCAAGGGACAGTACCTCGGCCTATACAAATATGTATCATTTTTACACAGACAACACAGACACAGAGCCAGCAACACAGGCCCCCTTTTGCAGCACAAGGTACCAATATTACCCCACTTGAAACAATAAACCAACATGAAACAAAACAGCTTACACCAAAAATCATCTCATCCCGCCCGGTCTTGGTATTCATGCAGATCTGAAGGATCAAGCTGCTTTGAGAGTCTTCTAGTCACACATCCCATAGTTCAAGCAGTCTTGCGCCACTAAGTTCACGAGTATTAAGCCTCAAATCCGCCAGAACAATAACTATCATTATCATTATCATTGTTACATGTAGTCGAGGTGAAAGCAACGTTGGAACAGAATATACTCCGTCACACACCGCGCAGATTCTGCCGGATTTACTTCACATTTCAATGTGCCTGAAATGTGCACAGCCATCTCTGTTAATCCTCATTCAATTCAATCAACAGCGTTCCCGCAGATATGCCGAAGCCAAAATCCTTCCTCCGGGAGTCAAAGACGAAGAAAAAGTCTGCTTCAAAACAGGTATGCGGTAGCAATAAACCCCGCACAGAACTGCTTGATCATGATCTCATACATTTTGATATAGGTACCTGTGACTGCAGATGATTTTCTTGCAGGTGTGTAGTTGAACCCCCAAAGCCAACAATATTAACAGTCTAAAAAAAAAAAAAAAAATAACTATCTCTCCAGCTGGCGTTGAACTAGAAGAGGCTGGCGAGAAATGGCGGGCCGGAGATGCGGCAAAGTCCATGCGCTTCTTTATGCGGGCCATCACCAATTATGACGAAGGGCTACAGAAACATCCCGGCACATTTGATCTAGCTTACAATAAGTATGTAAAGTCCGCACCGATATCGAAACAAGTCGTTATTTTGCATTTTCCAATTTCATCCATGATTCAGAGGTATTGGTTTGAGTTTACCTTTTACTAACACACCCACCCAGAGCACGAGTCCAATATGAAATCACCCAGCACCCCAAACTAGCGGCCCAGTTGCCATCGCCACAGGGGGAGATCTTGCAGGTCGCGCTGCAGTCACACCGGGATGCACTGGCTTTGGAGCAAGACAATGCTGACGTGTTGTTCAATTCGGGCCAGGTGCTGACCAGCATAGCGGAGTTGATGTCCAACCTAAAGCATCCCGACGAGGAGCAGCAGATGCAAGCGGGGACCTACTTGCAAGAGGCCATTGAACTGTTCCAGCGGTGTCTGATGGTCCAGGAGATGAAGTACACGGAAATGCAAGAGGAGATCGAACTGATGGAATCTGGGGATGTGCCACCGGAGCCGGAGGTTGTACCACAGGCCGCGGGTCAGGCCCAAGCCGAGTCTGCAGGAGAAGAGCAAGAACAATGGGCGATGATTGTGGAGCCTGTCACGAAGAATACGCTCGTGGACACGGCGGTGGCGCAACTAGAGACTTTGACTACTCTGTGCAACTTATTGACTTCTAACCCCGGTGGGGGCGGTGTTGGTTGGGTGCAAGAGTACTCGTCGGAGCTGGTGCAGTCGCGACTGCCTGCTTATGCCGAAGGTTCGGACAGACAGTATGAGGCGGCCTTGGCGCGCGCCAAGTTCATCTGTGCCTTGAACGATTTGCTCTACCGAGGCGGACACACCGATATCCAAACCTACCAGCAGGAGCTTGGACAAGTTTTTGGCCCAGAGCTGGATGTATCCGCGGACCCTGAAGGACTGTGTGGCAAAGCAGATGCGCTCACGTCGTTGAACCAGGCTCTTTCGGACCTCCCTCCATCTGAGGATGATGAGGCGTTTGAGAACGCGGTAGCATTGCGTTGGAAGTCGCTTTCAACCGCCCTGGACGCATTGACGGCTGCTACTAAGCTCCCAGATGCTGACAATTTGCCCAAGATTCACCTTGGTCGCGGAGACACGGAGATGCACAGATGGCGTCTTGGGCGAGCGCCCTGGAACCACGCCATGGCGAAGCAGAACGGAGCTATGCTACTGCGCAACGCTCAGACGTACTACCGCGGAGCAACAGCTCTGGCCCGCCGCGACGGAGCGGCCGAGGAGGTGCGCGACGGAACTTGCAAGGAGGCGATTGCCGCAGCTATCGAAGGCCAGAACACGAAGCTCGAGCAGCTCAAGTCAACGGACCTCCAACAGGTGATCGTTGTGGCGCAGGATATGGTGGAAGACGGAATGGTTGATGGCAGGGAATTGAGTGCCCTGATTTCATCCTGAATCGGATAGAGAAACAATTTCCGCAACACGCTCACAGACCTGGACGGGCTTTCGCCTCCTCATCCATCTGGATTGCGTCCTGGCGAATGTGATGTTGTCTACTGAATTGCGTGGCCGCCGTAGCAGCACCCTCAATATCCGAAACGACCAATCCAAGATGCGACAATAGCCGCTCAATTTCTAGCCTCTGCGCCTGTACAGTCTGCGCAAGCTCTGCGTTTTCCGCATGAGTAGCCTCGAGTCTGGCGTTGAGTGTCGACTGCGCTTCCTGCAGATAAGGCGTAAGGTGCGCTTTATACAGATCTTCGGCGCCGAGCGTATGCGCGCTGTATAGTAAACAAAGTTAGAAAATAGAACCAAAAAAGACCAAAAAACAAATATAGTCCGAATAAACGGCTAACTCTATCCAACATACACTGTTCTCTCCTGTCCCTCGGCATTCTCCCCCTCCTGCTCTTTCCTAGCCCTCGCATCCCCGACTAGCCGATCAAGCTCATTCAGATGCGCCACCGCATCCCTTTCCGCAATAATATCATCAAACTCAGCCTTGGCATTCGCCTCCAGCTTCGCGTTCAACTGCCGCCAGACACCCTCCAAGCTGGCAGGAACGTGGCGTGCAGGTGTCGGGAAACAGCCAGCAAAATTCGCATACGAGTTTGCACGGAGTGTGCGTGCCAGAGCCTGTTCGAAGACTTGGTTTAGACGTGAGGCGCGCGGGCCCGGGGATTGGGGAATTGGAGCTGGTGGGGGAGGGGACGGCGACGCGGCGGGCGGTTGGTGGGAATTCGATTCGGCCATGATGGATATATCTGCTGTCGGAATGGAGACGGAGCGTGGGAGGCAACGAAGAGCATGCGGGTATGGCTAGAGTGGCGTGTAGGAGACTGTTTGTGGTTCTTTGGGAATCTGGATCTGGGGTGTTGGACGGACTCTATTCAACGCGACGCGCCGGTCACGTGGTTCTATAGATTGAATTGATGGGACCGTAAAGTATCGATATTTAGATATTTTTGGATTTAATACTCTGATTAATTGGTAGAACAGTTATAACATGGGTATGATGATTATATGAAGCATTGAAAATGGTACGTCGCAATAGAAATGAAGCATTCAGCTATCAACTAGCTCTCAGCCCTAACTTGATGGATCTAAGCCTAGCCAACTCCGGCGTCTGTTCTCCTCATTTTCGGCTTTCACCAAAAGAGCAGGACTAGAGCTCTGTGAGCCTTTCTGAAGATGGAAGGATTGTATATTTGTCACCGAACGGGTTATGCGCCACGAGGATACGCGGCTATGGAGGTCAGACCAAAGTAATTTGAATGCGGGCCATGAAATAGAGACGTATATAAGGCTGTTCCAAAATCCTTGGAGCGGAAGGACGAAGCTAGATGCATAATTGAGACTGAAATTGAAGTCATTAGGTCGAGCCAGAGAATAGACTCTGTTTATCGTCGAGGGGACCTGCAATGTCGAACAATCAACACGAAAAGAACCGACAACGGTTTTCAGACCGTGTTGAGCTTTGAATATACATACCCATGTGACAAGCAAGGCAATGAAGAACAACATAGCGTATTTTGTATAGGCCCACGTAGCCGAACTGGCTTCTGTGGACGTCGACCTCCGCTGTGAGTCCGCTCCATCCGGTCGCACGGTCTTGCTAGAATTCTCCTGATGAAGAGGACTGGGACCTTGCATCGTGCTGGGGGTACTACCACCCTCGATTGTGACCGAGTATGCTCTGAACGCACTACACGGCAGCCCGCGCGCGGCGCTCTCTGACAAGGACCGACGCTCTGGAGTAGAACAGGCAATCTCCCTGGTGACTTGGATGCCAGTCAACATAGCAAAGGGAGATTCTGGGACAAGATCTGAGTCGATGCCACCGAGGTTCCGAAGCTGGCGCCGTTTCTGGTAAATCACCGACCCTGCACGTAGGTAGATGGCGAAGGTTGCTGAGATAATGAGCCAGACTGGTCCGTAGAAGATGGCGATGCGGAGGAAGGACCACTGTACCGAGATCCAGCACCAGAGCTGTTGGTGGTGGTGATTGGATTAGCATAAGCTGGTAGAAAGGAGGGCCTTGGGGCTTTGCTTACGATGGCGGAGCCATAGATCCTGCCTCGGGCTTGGGTCTGGATGAAGAAGTATGCGAAAGCGGGGATGAATGGAATACCGTAGCAGCAGAGCACATATTTCCATTCGAGCCGGCGTAGTTGCTCGGAGTCGTATTTGTGGAAGAATGTCAGGTAGACATTGCATGCCATTGCGAATGTCCACAGTGCATCGGCGGGCATGAACCTATTCTTGCTTATTTAGTGGTCGTGTGTCAAGGGTGTTTAGTTACCGAGTTGATACGAACCACTGAATCAAAAAACCCTGGAACTGGCACAGGGAACTATCAACCCCAGAATGAATCCCGTCTGCGGATATGATGGTGGCTATACTAGCCATTATGTTACCCCATGATGCATAGAACACCAAGCGGTTGATGGGTTTACGGAATGTGGGGGACCATAAAAAAGTAGCGACTATAACAAAAGTTCCAACCAGGGAAACAGTCGAGCAAACACGCTCTGTGGCCGAGATGGCCAATATTTGTTGTTCTGACAGCGTCATGGTATCATGGTCTATGACCTAGTCACCGTGAGGGGGGAGGGCTTCCAGCACGTGAGGGTTATATCCAACGGCAGATATGAACTGAGAGGATCCGTGGTTCAACAAAGCCAAGTTGGCTTGTGACAAATTGAGGATCCAGATGATCGTAGATCTACCAGCGGGGACTTATTTTTGGGTTATGATTCACCTTCGAAATAGAAGGCAAACCGCTCGAGCAGATATGGCCAGTGCACAATACTACCTGCTTATTATCCGCAACGGGAAACAAAGGGAAAATAAAAAGCCAAATGACAAATAAGGCAGAAGCAGTCCAATCAGCATATTGGTGTTATTCCCATCGGCTTACAGCTGGGAACATGCTAGCCTGGTGTCGGGCCCTGCGACAAAAGACACGGTCCCAACAATATTAGATTCAACAACCGCCAAGAATAGGAGTAAGAACCAAGCAGGGCAACTTTTAAATGATTTCCTCGTCTCAAACACCGCATGGGCCAGGGCTCAAACCGGTACTCCCAGGGAATGACATGCGAACGATTCCAGTTTGGGTGGTACCACAACGTGCAATCTTCCGGGATTTTGCAATATATATAGGGCATTGGACAAGGGACCAGTACTGGTCTGCATAGACAAGCACCGGAGGCATAGCCCTTGGGTTGTATCAATGATTAGAGTCATTGTTTAGGCGTGCAGTCTTTGTCCCTCGTAGGCGTCGGGGTTCGACAGTGCTCGAGGAAGAAGTAACCTGAATATGCCAAGGGTACAACGGTGACAATATTTTAGGGGCCTTGTGAAATCCTAAAGTTAGTTCCGTGTGTAACACTAGCACAACTGTTTCCCCCCGATGTTTTCACAGCTCATCAGTTGTTGCAGAAGACCAGATTGAAATACGGGTAACTGCATTTTTGAAAAATTTCTCCGAACAAGCATGAAGACATTCAAACGCCAACATAATGCCTCCTTGAAAGGGTTGGTCTAGGTACCCACTTACCGCCAGCGCTTGATAATAAGTGCAGTGCAGCAGCTAAGAGCTTGCTCGTCCCGAAAATCCTTGGCCGGTGAACAAAGAACCACCTGGGCAGTTGCAGTAACAAGCCAAGATATTCCCGAGAATTGCAGTTCCGACGGGGGCATTTGAACTAGACCCAAGCGTTTGTTGCACATGTCTCGCTCTTTGTGTTAATAAATACAGATTGGGATAGATGACAGAATTCATTTATCGAGGAAGCTATTTAGAAGACAAGCAGAAGGTTGATAACATCTGGAGCGCTGCTCTAGAGCATCATCCAGACAACAGAACAGTCATCTCCAAGGGCAGATACTTCTTATGCTTTGACAAAACTGGCCCAAAATCAGCAATACCAAGCTAACAAGCTAAAAAAAAAGAAAAAAAAAAGGGCTTCAAAAATATCCATCATCGGGTATAACGCCGAATTCTCCCATGCCCAATTGTCTAATCGAGCTCGTCATCTCGTCATGCGCAGCCTAGATCGTTAATAGGCAGGCTGCGGGGGGATCATGCCTCCATATCCAGCCATCTGTTGCTGCTGGTGTTGCTGCTGCAATTTAGCCTGTATCTGAGGCAGATCATGGAACCACGGGTGCTGCAGGGCCTCGCTGGCGCTGATGCGCATCTCCGGACGGAGTTGGAGCATGCGGTTCAACAAATCCATCCCGATAGCATCCATTTGCGGGATGATCAGAGACAAATCCTGCGTGGCGTAGATTTGGAAGTCGGACTTATATTCTGGCAGCTGCGAGATTCCGGGCCATGTACGTTCGGATGGTGTACCCATCAGGCGGAAGATCTTGACCAATTGATCCTCGTTGGTTGTGCCGGGGAAAAGCGGACGACCCGTGTACATCTCTGCCATGATGCAGCCAGCGGACCAGATGTCAATGCTGGTGTTATAGGTGCGACTCCCGAGGAGGACGTCCGGTGCACGATACCACAGAGTGACGACTTCGTTGGAGAATGTATTGACGGGGATGCCAAATGCGCGAGCAAGTCCAAAGTCACCCAGCTTAAGCTGGCCCTTCTTGTTGATCAGGAGGTTCTGTGGCTTCAGATCGCGGTGGAGGACTCGGTTGTCATGACAGAAGGCGATACCCTTGAGTAGCTGGTGCATGAAGGATTTGACCGTGGCAGGATCCAGCTGTCCACGATCACCGCGAGTGTCCATATATCTCTTCAAATCTCTGTCCATGAACTCAAAAACAAGCATGAGTTTGTTTTCCGTGTGGATGACATCGTAGAGCGAGACTATACTCTCATGCTTCAGTTCCTTCATCAGCGAGATCTCACGGATTGCGGTTGATGGTGTCCCCTCCTCCGAATCCAAGTGAATCTCCTTCAGCGCCACCATTTCACCGGTCTGGCGATTGCGCCCTTTAAAAACCTATTGTATTCTGCATCAGCGGTGAACGGGGGGAGAATGGCGATCATGATAGGAACGGGGGTGAGAGGTGGAGAGAGATTGAGAGAGATCGAGACGTACAGTAGCATAAGTGCCTTCACCGAGCTAGAATAAGACGAATACCAGTTAGCAAAGATCCAAGATCCGATAAGTAGAAAGGCATACCTTTTCCAGCTGCTGGAAGGAACTGGGCTGCTGAGATTTGTCCATTTTCTGTGGAACTTTGGAAGCCGGTGGCCCCGATGGTTTGGGTTTAGAATGGAAGAGAAAGTGACCAGGAGAGACCAGGTTTGAGGCGATCTTTAAAGGGTGGGCTGCAGGATCCCTAAAGTGCTCCATGCTGAGACGTGAGGGAGGAGCCCCGCGCTGAGCGGCCCGGGACTTATCAGACTTGGCCTCTTTTTTTTTTTTTTTGGCCTGAGGTAGCAGGCGCTTATTCTTTTCTACTCATTTTTCTTTTTCCTTTTTCTTATAATTGGTATATTATTTTACAGTGATCTTGATTTTATTATATTTTCATCTCATTTTTCTAAATCTATAGATTGACTGGAAGTTGGGATACAACGGTCGGGAGGACTGACTGGGATGGATAGCTACATCGGACATGAGCAGTGGAATCATGTCTAATATTTCCAAAAAGCACGGCTTCATTCCTGACGCCACCAACATTGACAATACCAATAGACATGCCTCGTTTATGTGCTCGTTCCACTAGGCGCCACGCCGAAAGAGTCGCTAGGCTGGTTCCCAAGATGAGTAGCCGCCCAGCATCATCAATGGCCTCTTCAGCCGCTGTCTTCACCAGTGGATCAATATTTTCACCAAACATGATCACTGCCGGTTTCAAAATGCCAGCATTTGAATTCGCCGATAATGCCCCGTCGCTCTCTACCTCTACAGTCGCCTTCGTGCCATCGCTTAGCGTGGGAGGGTTCTCCAAGCAGGTCGGACATGAAGGATAACGGAAAGTAGAATATGGCGCTTCAGCGACATCAACGTCACCATCCGGGTTAAGCTTCAAGCCTTTCCGCCGTTGCTCCTCCGGATTATCGGTGTCGAGCGCACCCTCTGCAACCATACGAGCCAAAAACTCCGCCCAAGCTGGATTGAGTCTCTCCAGCGACGCTTGAAAGTCGGCGCGGGGAAGTTGGCTTCGACAACTCGTGCAGATGACCGATCGCAAGTATCCGTGTAGTTCGAGGGTAGATAGTTCGGGATGCGCTAGGGAATGAAACGAGTCGACATTCTGTGTCACCACGGAACTGATGTACCCTTTTTCGCCGAGACCCTTAATTGCCCAATGAGTCGAGTTCGGCTTTGCTTTCAAGAGTCCGGGCCATCCGATGAAGCTGCGCGCCCAATACCGCTTACGCGACTCATGGTGAGAGATGAACTCGTGGTAGTAGATCGGACGATAGGATTTATTTAGCCGGTAGGTACCCTGGTCGCCTCGATAATCTGACAAACCAGACGCGACGGAGATACCTGCGCCAGTCAGTAGTACCGTCTGGGAATGTCCCCCCACATCGACACCCCGGAGATTGGAGGACGGTGGCGCAGTGAGGAAAGTGCTGATAGCGTCAATTGCTCCTGCAAGTGTTGTTGCAGCCCGAGGGATAATAATAGCCGGTGGCAGTGGTCCCGTAAAGGGGATCCGAATAGCAGGCGTCGTCATTGAAGACGCACCATTATACGCTGACGGGGTGTCTTGGCAGAAGGAGAGTGGATGTTCTCCAACGATTGCGTAGTTGGATGCTTGGCGGGTACTGCGTAAGAAGGTATCAAAGATTCAAGATTCGTCAAAAGATTATACTAGATTGATATGACAGATTGATAAAGAAGGATTCTGATAGGCTCCGGGGAGTAGTCCGAATTAAAGGGGATCAATAGGAGTCATGGAGATGGTCATAGGAGAAATGCAAGCATGCAGATTGGATTGTGAAATGGAAAATCAAGGGAATTGCCGGATGACATGAACAACATCCCACCTGCACCTAGAACAATCTCGTCTTCTAGGATTAGAGACGTAACTAAAAACTAAAAACTGTCTTAACCACAAAGACCACTGAAAAGACCACTCTGTCCAATCCTTTCATTTTGTGCTCGCGTGTCCCAGACGCGATGCCGCTGACGCAGCCCCTATGCAGGCTTCGCCCTCTCCACTTAAGGATCTCCAGTCTCGGATCTCATGCTGCTCAGCGGCGCATACTTACTTCCACTCCTTTCATAAAAGA